GTGTGGGGGCAGAACTCCTGCTGATAGGGGAGTGGGAGGGGGGAGGGGGGAGGTCTCGTGACAAAGGAGGAGGGGGAGGAGGGGCTGCTGCATTACGAGAAGGCAGTGGTGGGGGGGCAGGGCCACCTCGGAGGGGGGTGGAGGAGGGGGGGCACCCCCACGGCTGGGAGGCAGAGGGGGTGGAGGTCCTGCAAAATAACAGGTGAACCAATTAAACCAAAGGGTCACAGTACAGAGCATGATTGTTAGGATACGTCATGACTTATTGTTAGGGTAATCCAAGGGCATCCCATGTAATTTCAGGGCAGCAAAACTTGCTGGAGGTAATTAGATTAAAACCATACATCCAATGCGCATGTTTATCGTAAGACCAGGAACAACAAATGCTAAATCTGAGAAAAACTAACCCGACTGAGACTTAAATTCCTTCTTGACTGCTTCAAGTCCTCCCTGCTTCTCTATGAAATCATAGATGAACTTGGACGTTTCTTTGTCCTTCAGGAGGTCTTGACTGATTCCTGCTTGCTCAAAAAGTGACTTCAGGTCAGGGTCCATGCTTGTCATCTGTAAGTCAGTGATACAAGAAGTTAGTCATCTTTAGATACAGCATCAGAGCATGAAATACATGTATTTTAGGCAAACCTGCACAGAAAAATTAACTGCACTTAGTGAAATTTCGGCTTGTTATTTTCTTTGCCTATCACTTGTATCAGGTCACTGGAAACAACTGTTTTGAAAATATTCCTATAGAATTAGTGCTACTAAGTATTTGGTTTGCCTTATCAGCACAGTTGATTGCAACAAACACAGCTTACTTGTGTATCCCCATTAACTTGTGTAAAATAGAGCTAGGATGTCAAGAAACCATAGAAAAACTTACATCAAATCCAGTGTTGGGGTCCCAGCCAACATGGCTGATGTGTCTGAGGAAGGAAAAACAGAATACAACAATTGCCATCAGTTCATGTTATTCATGGTACAGACACAGATCATAATATCATAGTATTCTATCACAGACACAGGCTCCAAGACTACTGGAATTAAAGCAAAGTGTAGGAATTTGGACCACTCTTCAGGATAGAATTTTGAAAATGCTATTACCTTTCCCACTATTCTTAAGATCAGTAATAATTTTCCTAAATTCTACAAGGAAAGGTGGTGGTCATATTGTTACCAATCTTCAGGACTTGCCTCTGATGTCCCTTAACTGTATGTATGAATTTCTATATCTTACAATTCAATATCATCTTAAAGGTTTTAAATACACCAAGAACATAGCAAAGTGTTGTGAAAGCACTGGTATTAGTAAACCACCTACTGGAAATTAGTGGGTGTGCTGATGTCGGCTTTGGTTAACTTCTTCTTCTTGTCCTTCTTCTTGTCTCCCTTGAGGGTTCCCTTGTCCTGTTTACGCTTGCTGAGAGCCATGTTGTCTGATGGGTCTGGTTTCACGTCTGCTACCTTCATGTGCTGAGGAGTCGCCACTGGTGGAGCATGGAACTACATGTTACCGTCAAAGTACATGTTGCTACACGTTATCATCACATACAGTAGCTATAGTTTTCACATATATACCTTCATCTCATATCTCAATCCTTTTTTCTGCATACCTGCAGTGGTGGAGGAAACACTGAAAATTACCTGCACCAGACAAATAAACTTCATAGGAGGTAACATTAAATGCAGCAAATAATACTAGTAATGAATACATTGTAATTTTCAATTATAAAAGTATGAAACAAAACAACAATCTTAGACATCCATACCTGGAACAGAAGGAGCTTGGCGTTTCTTCTCTGAAATATGAGAAAAATACATGTACATGAAGATCTGTTTGAACCAAATATTGTAGAATTCAGGTAAAGCCTTTAACAAATTGGTGTACATGTATATGTACAAGCAAACAACAAACATGCCCTCAAACAAACAGCACAGAAAATAACCTTCTGCGTAGAACTTTCACAACATGGATGGATAAAAAAAAACTGTAAGCCCTCACAAGACAAAGGCCTTATTCAACTGTTGGTACCAAAACATTTCAGCATTTCAAGTTTGATTTATATCCTGTCAAAATGGTACATCTAGATTCTAGAAATCACCCAAAAAGTGAAGAAGTAATATCTGAGAACAAAAAAATTGACCCCAAACCTTGTTTCTTCTGCTGCTTCTGTCTGATCTTTTCCTCAATGGTTCTCTTGAACTTGTGTGCTTCCCTCTCATCAGCAAAGTTTAGCCCAGCCTGGCAGTCCTGAGACAAGACAGACATAATGTGAACTTCTTCCAATCTCATCACAATTATGAAAAACAGTGTAGACTAGTAGCCCCAGGCTAGTTGAGCTGCTATGTCTGTGTGTGTTGAACAGCCAAACCAAGAAATAAACTGATGAACTTTCATGTTAATCTCAAGAGTATGTGTCTACTTACGTCAGTGGCAAACGTGTGGAAGTAAGGCATTGCTGTGTTGTACTTGAACTGGTTGTACAGCTCCTGCTCCCAGATTAACACACATTTCTGGAACCAAGATCAATAAGATTCAGTTAATCAATCACTAACAATGTGAAAATTCAAGGCTAAAAATGAGCATTTTCCTCAACCTCATCACATTTTTGCCCTGGTTCTGTGACGTACCAGTAGGCTTGGGACTGGGTCATTCCAAATTTGGAGAGGGGTCTGAGGACTTACCAAAAGTTTGTTGGTATGCAATTTAGTTTTTATCATGGATATATGCAAATCAGCTCATATTACTACTATACTACATTGTACATGTACCACACTTTTTTATAGTACATGTACCATACTTTTCTGCACTACTGAGATATAGACACTGTAAATAAAGGGCTCTCATTGGTAGAGGGGTATTGCCATGTTCTAAACTGTTTTAAATTTTCATAATATCCTTTACCTTTAATATCCTTTTACAAATGAACTTTCATATAAGCTTTTTCCTTACTATACATAACATTACATTACATTACATTACTTTTATCTGTACCATTCCTTACCTTGACGTCATAGACTCGGATGAAGTAGGAACGTTTTGGGTTGTCCTTCACGAAGCAGGCCACGCCCACACATCGCTTGGTCCAGGAGCCGCGGGACTCGGGCAGGGCCAGGTACACCTGCACCACACCTGTCGCCAGCGTCTGGAAGATGGATTATCGCGTTTATCATAAGCATGAGCAATCTTCATAGACCATTCAAAAGTCGACTGCATTTTCTGAAATTTGCTTCAGCTTCATTATAAAGGTTTGTTATAATGGTGGACTGTGAAAATACTGAAGTGATTGGTGAAAAAAATTCTTATCAAACTCCCTATTAAGCCTTAGTTAAATTCCTTAGTTCGTATTATACTATAGTATAGTTTTGACATGATCTGTTAATAAGTGTTTTATTCACTTTAAAAGTTTTACAATTTTTTGCAACTTGCCGGCATAATCACAGGTGACAGGTCCAGCCTCTCTTGGTCATGCAAAATATTTATCAACTTTTGGTTGACTTGCTTCACATAACGGTCAAACCTACTGTAGCTACGGCTTCAAAGAAATATCCAGTCTCAACTCCTACTGGCAACCCTTGATCTGAGCGGGAATTTTTCTATCTTATTTCCGAACGTAACTCATAACTTTATGCCGTATGATCTATTTGTGATGGGGAGGGGGGCATACTATTGTGGTATACGATCTCACTGCAGATCATGGTAAAATTCCTTACCACACATCGCTTCCCAAGGAGATTGAACAGCTGTTCATTTTCTGCCGGGTACAACAAATTTGACGACACGTTCTGAGGCCGGTTTCCTTGTTGAGACATGACTGTTTGACGACAACAAAATTTCAACTTTCTTCAGTCTCCTTTTCAGCAGTAACTTCCGCTTCCGGCGTTCTCGTACACGCCGACTTCCGCTCCTTCTCGTGCCCAGGACCCACTGTGACACGATAATCTCCAAGCAGATGTGGATCGTATCGTTTTCTGGCGGTCAGGCTTCTCTGACACTCACTCACCCCCCAACATCTATACACAGAGGGCACACGAACCGAGGGACTGTCAGAAAAGTTACTACTGTATCTACTATTTTTTTCACCCAACATCTTCTTGGAGACCAGGAGTCTCCGAAACAATTCATCTCATATAACGTTATGTTTGATCTGGAGTCTAGCGTTAGGTGAATAGGAAGGAATGGCATCTTAGATTAAGGGTTATTAAATTTAAAGCTTCTAAAATGAAGTAAAAGGTATAGCTTTCATGTCCAGCCTTCAAGAATGATTTGACATTTCAAATACCTCTGGATACGGAGGTATGTATTGTTTTCTGTGATGTGTATATGTTTGCTTGTATGTCCGTAGGTATTTGAATGCAGATTGGCGGGAAGCGGGGGGGGGGTCTAAAGTGACGTATACAAATGTACGTTCCAAATGTGACTTCGCGAAATTTATTGAAACGGGAAGTTGAGTCATGTGAGGTCATGTGAGTGCTAGTAGATTATCCAGTTTCACTTCCGCATTCTACTGTTGCAGTGTGTTCAGAACTCTGAGGGTAAGGTTTTCTTCTTTATATACTCAATGTTCGATCATTTGCTCGAGTTCTTTGTCCTATACAAGCAGTGCTGTCAGCTTAGCCTTTTGCTGTCACTGCTTCGGCAATAATTCTCACAATATCTGTGAAAAACGCATGACGAAAACTTGACCTAACCTCGCCTGAAAAAATTATACTGATCATTAAATTATTCAGCAGTTCGGCCATGATTTGCCGTATGATATAACATCGATGTTAGGTATGTAACGTTATATGTGGAATAATTATGTCATAATGATAGAATAGAATAAAAGTACGATCAGATTTTAGACTGAACAAAAGGTGGTGTGCATGTTTCCTCTCCTTGGTCTAAACCTAATCTCCAAGCAGATGTTTAGGAAGCCGCAAAAGACAGTATCAAATTGGCCAGGCAGTATTCATTGACCAGAGTGGCAAATGGATACAGTCTGGCCAGTGCATAATGCCTGGCCAATTTGATACTGACTTTCGCGGCCACCTAAACATCTGCTTGGAGATTAGTCTAAACCGGGCTTGCAAGGGACCGTGGAGACCATTACGAACCACCGTCGGCTAGCGTCAAACTAAAGATATCCTCTATCTGAGTCTTTCTTTATCCTGAATATTGCCGAAGTGCATGCAGGCAATCACTACATAGTCAGTGTATGACGGTCAATTATGGCGATGTTTTGATGACACTGTTTTCGCTGACGTCATGACATTGAACCCTAGTTTGCCGGTAGGTGTCGCTTTTAAGGAAGTGGAGACATTGGTGATAGTCACGCACCTGTTTCTGTTCCTCTTTTCTCCATTTCAGTTCCTCTTAAAGCTGTATATGTAACATTAGGATGATAAATTTAATATTTGTTTACTTTCTGGTAGTTTGTGGTGGCACCACTAAGTTTGAGGTGGCACCACAAACTTAGTGTGCCTTGTGTGGGTTGTTTGTAAACTAACCATAAATGTCAGAAATGTGAGATAATTGCAAAAATCATATTAAAAAGTGGAAGTAAATTATAATCACAAGAAATTTTACAATCAAAATATTTCCATTTTTGGTGCAAAAACGATGCCCCTTGAATTCCAGAGACAATACTCTTTCAATCTTTTAATGATTTTGCCAGAACGAAGCCATGGCCAATGCTCCCGTCATCTTCCTGGTGGCCCTGGCCGGCTGCCTTGCCACCGTGAATGCCGGGTACGTGCCGGAGGCCTGTATGAACTGTATCTGCTTTGTGGAGTCAGGCTGCCGCATGCCGGACCCTCTCTGTCAGATGGACGTCGGCTCTCTCTCATGTGGACCATTCCAGCTGAAACAGGCCTATTGGCTAGACGCACGTCTCAAGGGAGGTCCACTCATGAATGGTACATATGTGGTATGATATGATAGATCTATGATATGATATGGTATGGTATGGTTTGATATGGTATGATTTTAGCGTAAAGGCACAACATGTGACATGATCTAAGCTTAAACACGACTTAACAAAAGTTTGAACGAAAGTTAGACCAGCTACGGTCTTCATCAGGATGTAATGACCCACTTCTTCTCTGACACGTGGCCACATGACGTCAGTATAGGTTGAAGATGTTCAAGATGGCCTCTTTCACTCCTGTCATCATTAAGTAACCATGTTCATTGTCCAAGTAATTTGTTGCTTTACCTTATCCATCTTGACGAAAGACTATATCAGAAAAGTACATCAGTTTATTATAATATGATTAATGACTTGTTCTCTCAACTCTCAGACTGGCAGACGTGCTCAGCGTCCTGGACGTGTAGCCGTGACGCTGTGAACGGGTACATGGAGCGGTTCGCCGTCCCGTCCCGCCTGGGCCACAGTCCCACATGTGAGGACTTCTCCCGCATCCACAACGGCGGGCCTAACGGCTTCAAGAGCGCCGCCACCCTCAAATACTGGGAACGGGTGAAGAAGTGTCTGGGCGCAGGTCTCGGGCTGTACTCGCACCACGTATGTCGTTTAGCAAAACCTTTTTATGCAGTTTCTATATTAAAGTTTAAGGAAGGGTAAATAAAAAGAAGTATCTAGAGAAGTAAAATGTATTATGGTATAGCCCAACAAACTACTGCTCTGTTCCTGATAATACCTAATACCTTAATACATATGGTGACCAGCCACTCCAACTTGCTACATAATGTTATCCCATATCACAGAGTGCCTGCTACAGCACCCGTTACCATGGCGACAGTCGTCTGATTCAGGCCATTGACCTGATGTGTTAGGAGAATAAGAAGAAACTGGCCGGGCAAAATAGTGAAAATGTGTTTTCCACATAATGATATAATCAGTTCTCTAGATCATCCAAAACGAATAACGAAGTATATGAGACATTGTCAGATAGCTTGTTCTTTATTGCTTACTCTTTGAATCCCACAAAGTAACATCTCTCACGTTTCTTACAGATTGACCTGGAACAACAGTCGAAGAACTACACCAAGTTGGGCTGACAGCGAAGTCGTGCCAAAGCCCAACGCTGCCTGTGGCATCCGGCCAAGAACGAAGACCATTACGCATACATAAACGCCTTGTAACACGGTCCTTGTAACACAGCCTCTCTGCTTGACTTGAGCATAGATCTTAATAGCTGACAAATATATACCAACCACGTGCACGTGCCTTAATACTGTGTTTGCATTTGGGTCACGTATCTAAGCATTTTGTATCAACAGTGCTGTCACGTTATGAACAAAGTTTGAAACTGGCGTGCATGTCAACGTTAAACATGTTTGGAATAAAGCAACTTCGGCAACAGTGAATCATGTTGTGACGTGACCGTTTGATGTTTGGGTCTATACTTGTGTATACGTGTATATGTAGTTATAATTGTGTGCGATCGGAACAGCGGAGTAGAACTAGAACTATCAGACATCCGACATACGCACGTCGGCCGGGCCTACTGCGTCAGTCTGTGCAAAACCCGTAATGTATTGTGCTTTAGCACTTCAGCAGGACGTCTTTGTTCATGTCTTCCATGTGACTTCGCGAATTTTTATTCAAACGGGAAGTTGAGTCATGTGAGGTCATGCGAGCTTCACCTCGGCATTCTACTGTTGCAGTGTGTTCAGAACGGTGAGGGTAAATATATGGGTTTTCTTCTTTATTAACACAATTCGAGTACTTTGTTTATACAATCAGTATTGTTAGCATAGCTTGTTGTTATCACTGCATCGGGAATAAGTCGATTGTTTGAAACAATGACGAAACTTGACTCACCTACTACATAGGTAGAGAGCTCGGAAAATTTCTGCTGATCATGAAATTATGCAGCAATTCGACCGTGCGTTACTATAACGTTATAGGTACGTATGTATAGATGAGTTGTGCTCTACATAAAGCCTTAGCTCTAAACTGTGGCTCCGTTTGCATGGGGCATTTCGAAACCACTGCTCATCTAGAGATCAGGCTCTAGTTTAATTTCCCGGACATGTGCGAGTAGTAGAGACCATATCCAAGTTACACATTTATCCAGAATATTGCTGAATGTAGGCAATCACTGCCTCGTGGATCACGGATTACGGCGATGCTTTGAGGTGTGAGATAGCGTTATAATGAATGGCCATGAATGATTGTTTTCGCAGACGTCATGACATTGAACTACATATCGCTGGTAGGTGTCGCTGTTAAGGAAGTGGAGACCGTATTAGTGATACTACATGGTAGTAGTCACGTCGCTGTTCCTGTTCCTCTTTTCTCCATTTCAGTTCCCCTTAAAGATGCATTATGTAACAGGATGATAAGAAAGGAATTTTTCTGGTAATTTCTTTACAAAGTATGTTGAATCGTATTTCCCAAGAACTAACGTAGAGTGGAACTCGTTGCTACCAGACACAGTTGGGGCATCATCACTAGAACGAAGATACCAGCAATGTCGAATGCTCCCGCCATCTTGTTGGTGGCCCTGGCCGGCTGCCCTGCCACCGTGAATGCCGGGTACGTGCCGGAGGCCTGTATGAACTGTATCTGCTTTGTGGAGTCAGGCTGCCGCATGCCGGACCCTCTCTGTCAAATGGACGTCGGCTCTCTCTCATGTGGACCATTCCAGCTGAAACGGGCTGGATAGACGCACGTCTTAAGGGAGGCCCTCTCATGAATGGTACATTTGTGATGTGATATGATATGATTTGTGATATGATACGATGTGATATGATATAATTTGAGCGACCCAACATGTAACATGATCTAAGCTTAAACATGATTGAACAAAAGTTAAGACGGATTTTCGACCGAAGCTACGGTACTGGTCTTCTCAGTATGTCATGACCCACTTGCATAGGGAACATGTAATGACTTCTAATGTTCTCTCAACTCTCAGACTGGCAGACGTGCTCAGCGTCCTGGACGTGTAGCCGTGACGCTGTGAACGGGTACATGGAGCGGTTCGCCGTTCCGTCCCGCCTGGGCCACAGTCCCACATGTGAGGACTTCTCCCGCATACAAAACGGTGGGCCTAACGGCTTCAAGAAGGCCGCCACCCTTAAATACTGGGAAAAGGTGAAGAAGTGTCTGAGTGAAGGTCTCGGGCTGTACTCGCACCAGGTTGGTCATTTAGCAAAACCTTTTTATGCAGTTTCTATATTAAAGCCCAAGGAAGGGAGAATTATCGATGAGAAGTAAAATGTATTATGGTATAGCCCAACAAACTACTGCTCTGTTCTTAATGCATTCTTAATACCTTAATACATATGGTGATGACCAGCCCCTCCAACTTGCTACATAATGTAATCCAATATCACAGAGTGCCTGCTACAGCACCAGTTACCATGGCGACAGTCGTCTGGTTCAGGACATTGACCTGATGTGTTAGGAGAATAATAGGAAACTGAGCAAAGGATGTTAGAAACTAGTTGTAGGGAAGCGAGTGTAAGGAATAACGAGGTATATGCGACATTGTCAGATAACTTCTCCTTAATTGTTTACTCTTTTAATCCTATAAAGTAACATCTCTCGCGTTTCTTACAGATTGATCTGGAACAAAAGTCGAAGAACTACACCAAGTTGGGCTGACAGCAAAGTCGTGCCAAAGCCCCGGGGGCAACGTGGCTGTGGCATCCGGCCAAGCTCGAAGACCATTACGTACACATATACGCAATGTAACACGGTCCTTGTAACACAGTCTCTCTGCTTGACGTGAGCATAGATCTTGATAGCTGACATATATGATATATATACCAACCACGTGCACGTGCTTAAATATTGTGTTTGCATTTGGTTCACGAATCTAAGCATTTTGTAACAACAGTGAACGGCGGGGAGCGCATGTTGGGGAGCGGACGAAAGCTAACAAGGCTGACACTCAGGCTATCTAGTCACGTTATGAACAAAGTTTGAAACTCGTGCATAACGGTTAACATATTTGAAATAAAGCAACTTCGGCAACAGTGAATCATGTTGTGACGTTACCGTTTGATTTTCAGGTCTATACTTGTGTATGTAGTTATAACTGTGTGCGATTGGAAGAGCGGAGTAGAACTATCACTCAGACAGCCGTCACACGCACGTCGGTCGGGCCTACTGCGCCTGTGCAAAACCTGTAATGTATTGTGCTTTAGCACTTCAGCAGAACGTCTCTGTTTAAGGTCGTGTTTAAGGATGACATCCTGTCTATAGTTTGCAAATGTTGTGTCGGAAAAAAACATTGTCCGCAAGGGGAAAAATTCTGATGCAATGCTGACTAAACATCCAAAGAAAACTGCGAAAACTCCGGGCTGTAGGTTCTGCCGGCATATACCAGTCGACGGAGCCAAGATAAGAACATGGGACCGATTCAGGATCGCCGTCACCATTTCTGCTCGCAGATCATGCTGTGGAACTTTTTAACACGTATCACGGAAAAACAACTGGAGGAGGCTGGAATTACACACAAAATAGAATTCCAAACGCAGAAGTAGATTAATTAGGACTGGGATTAGAACCATACACCTGTATGACACATTACAGTGAACCATACTCCACTCCATGGAGATGGACATCTTTTCGTTGCCACACCCATGGGTGAGAGGTCTACACGATCCACGCCTTTCTGACAGTTTCATCAGATCCTTTTCGGGGACAAAGAGTTGGCCACGCCCTGCTCCACTGACTGGGGTATGTTCCACCAGCACAAGGAGTGGTCCCGCCAGGGGACACTGCAAAACAACATATCTAAACAAACATCCAATCAATCTCCTGTCAATCATGTGTTTACTGTACTGGAGACTGTACTATCTTAAACTCTCATATAGGGGTGGACGATTACTTCTTGTTTTTTCTCTTCTTGGTTTATCCTACAAGCTATTAGACTCCTACATACCAGCAGTGTTGATTCTGTAAATCGTACACAGTTTAAATTTGTTTCTTTTCTTGCATTCTTCGTATCTTTTCCCTCTACTTATCATTTCATCCCCCGCCTCTTTAAGGAATGTAACATTCCTTGTCAAAAATGTTTTTAAAATGGCCTTGGAGTCTTGGACACTTGACATGACTGTGCGTGTGTACAGAGCAGTTCTGGTGCACTTGTTCAAACAGTTGTAACCGTAAGTATGGTCGAACGTATTCATAGGGCAGTTCTGGTGCACCTGTAACCGTATGATTGGTCATATGTATGGATTAGCTCTGGTACACTTAAAACCGTGAGTATGATTGGACGTGTGTATAGAGAAGTTCTGATGATGCACTTGTAACCATGAGTATGATTGGGCTATGTATAGAGTAGTTCTGGTGCACTTGTAACCACGAGTATGATCGGACGTATACATACATGTAGATTGTAGAGGTACTGTAGTTCTGACGTGAGGTGTAGTATGGGAATGTGATCAACGCTAAGGTTCTATTCAAAGCGGGTAACCATAGCAAAGAAGTTGTCAGTCAGCAAGTATGAGGGAAGCATTTCAGATTAATGGTAGACGTTACCTTGAACGAACAACACTCTTTTTCCAACCTTGTTTATTCCTTAACCTTGTCTAACCTCAGGTAGCATCAGTTACCTTAGCCAGGAGATTTTGTTTTAGTTTGATTGAGACCCTGTTACATGAGTACATTTGGCTTAAAGCAACACGATTAATGCATTAAACATTACTGG